TAACGTACTTGATTTGATTGTTTTGCACGTGCTGTTTGGCGCTACATTGTGACGTCACGTAAACAATACTTTAAACGTTTGTACAGCGTTAACGACTGAATAAAAGTGGTGTTCGAATTCATTTTCTTAGTTAGACCATTTTCTTTCATTCTAAATAGTTTTCACAACAAAATTCGACAAAAAATTGTTTTTATTTATCACATTTTTCAAACAAAATGGCGCCCTCAATGTGAAAATACACAGGGAGATAATAAGAACGGCGAGTGCATTGTTGTAGATTAATGCACGCTTCGGGCCTTCTTTGTTTATATAGAAACATTTCCGATAGTGTCCCAATAAAATTCTTTAAAAAAAACGGTGACAGGATAAATAGAATAATACGGGGAAGTCATAGACCGGGCCCGCAAAGCGGGTCCGGGCTTTGGCTTGCCCGGCTATAGACTACACGTGTATATTTAAAAGAAAATCAAATAAAAAACAATCAAAAAATAAATAGAATTCTATACCTATCAATGAATTTTTCAGTGTCAGTTCTAGTCGGGCGCCGCCATTTACAATGTAACTGTAAATGATAATAGGCGGGGTATTCCGATAACGGAACAAATCTCAACTTTTCGGATAAATAATAAACGTCGAGTGTTCCGAATGAAAACGGAAGCGGTGCATGTAATACCGAATGACACCTTTAAAACGGAAAGAATGAAAGGATTTTTTAACGACTTCCCCGTTCATAGGCTTTGCCTAATTTCATATAAGATTGGTGCCGTGGATAGAGAAAGTTTATCTGGCTCTGCTCCGGAATTTATTGGGTTCGCCTTCGGCTCACCCAATAAATTCCTCCGCCTCGCCAGATAAACTTTCTCCATCCACGGCACCAACCTATTATTCTCTATATTTCTAAATCCCATTTGTTTAACGTTGATCGACGTTTGTTTTACGTGCATGCATGTTTAATAGGTTGATTTATGTCAGAAATGACGTTGTAGTTAAACACATTTACCATTAGCTCGTTCATTACAACTTAATTACAAGAAAAGCATTGATGCAAAGCATCAAAGGGCGTCTAAGCAAGAAATGCAGCAAGTGAAGATGAACTAGTAGATATATTGTAAGAGAAAGGTAAGTATTAGTGGTAATATTAGTTTTATAACATGGCAGGCTAGGTATGATTTTACTACATGTATGTCGGATGGCTGTAATTTTTGTTACTTGGGACAACCAAGGAGATTCAACAAGAAACACCAGAATTTCAAAACAATAACTTCCTTTTATTCATAGAAATATATATAATAAATGTTGAACTCCATTTACGGCTTATTTTCTCTTTCTTCAATGAAATATTAACTATATTAAGTGTTTGTTATCAATTTCTTTAATAAACAATGAACTGCATACGTTTAATGTTATTCATTTCTTCAATAAAATATCGACTGCATTTAGCGTTTGTTATGTATTCTTTATAAACACGAATTGCATATACATTTATATAGTCTGTTATTCCATTCTTATTTTATACAGGTAAAGCATAGATCAAGATATAATAACGTTCTACAGATATTGTGTAATACTCTACCAGGTTACTTTCGCTAGAATAAAATACATTTGAAAATATAACTTTTGCGTGAGTACGTATTGCGCAAGTTTCATGCAAGAGTGTGTGAGCATACGCAATAACAAATTCTGATACTGTACTTGGTTAGAATATATTTAAATAATGCTAAAGTTTTGCATATGTACTTTTGCAAAAGTGTTCCGACACTCTAGACCCGTTTCATTTAGTTAAGTTAACCTAGTACTTCCGAAAGCACGACTGTCCGACATGACGCAGCCATCTATATTTATAAACTTTCCAGCCAATCAGATTGCGTCATTACATTCGACTTCCGCAATGGATACGCATAAACAAAAAGTCTGTGCGAAAGTTTCATATTCTTTGTAAAAAGAAACCTCAATGAATAAATGTATTAATGCAATAGTTATCGGAGGTATTATTTAATAATAATACCACATTCTAGTAAATAAAATATTTAGCTTTCGTATTTCCCGTATCAATGCGCTAAGAAGTTTAAATTGACAGGTCAACAAAGTAATGTGTTCAAATATTCATAAAAGCAATTTTGTTTCATTGTAAAACTGGGCTCAAAAGTTATGGAATAAGGTATTGATACTGTTTCATCAAATTCTTGCTCTTGTTTCTACGTAATTACGTTGCAAAACCAAGTTGAACTTGTTTGACCTTCAATGGCGTACGTATTGTTTACATGTTTTGACGGCGCTATTTTTCAAATAATCTCTGCTTCAAAAGATATTTTCTGTAGCCAGTTACGTATTCAGAGTAATCCATATAAAATCCAGTTTGATAAATAACATTAGTTTTTGGTATTAAATAACACCTTTAAGTTAATTATATGATTCATTTGCTCATTCAAGCTTCCGCTGATAGTGATAAATTTAAAGGAAAAATGCAAAACTTCTCGCTGGTGTTCCACAGTTGTTACAAGTTAATAAATGACGTTTTACCAGATATTTACACATGCCATTGAATGCCAATCTCTTTTCTAAGGCATAAGTCTGACAGAACTAAAGGTAAATTTATTTGTTAACAATTGTCATGACCTGGTAGAGTAAACACAATTCTTAAGATGTTTAATAAATATAACAGTACATAAAAAATGTTCAAGTACAAGTCATTCCTTTACAATATGATGACAAGATATTCTTATAAACTTTTCAATGGTCAATTGGTTTTTACCAGAATTGTATATCACATAATTGTTTATTATACAATAATTGTAATATCTATTTTAATAAAAAAATACAGATTTTATGAATATTGTTTTCTTTTCTTTTTTGTGTTATTTTAATACTGAGTTTTTACGTTTACTACTATTTCAAGAATTCAATTGTCATATTGACTGACGATTATAAGTCAAAACTAAACTGGCAAAAGTCAGTGAATTATGGTTAATCTTTCAATATATAATATTGTTTGTTCTTAAACCATATACATGTACATTTGTTTTTTTCTTTATCATTTTTAAATTATCAATCAATTGAATAATTCATAAAATCTAATTTGTAACTTTGAATAATTCCTCATCTTTACTAAACACGAATAACAAATTAAATAAAATGTTTCAAAGTTGATAGTGTTATATTAATACCATAAAAATGAACCTTTTTTCTCAATTATTGTACATATTTATTGTTTTTATCTCATATAGATAAAATAAAACATGCGCTATTGTTGTTGTTGGTTTTTTTTCGAATTGTATGTTTATGTATAATAATAATAAAATTGAGAGTTGATCTGTGTTAATTAATTATTGTAACCAAACTAAGTGACAAACATTCATTTTGAAAAAAGCTTATTTATCTGTAAAATAGTTGTTCTGTTCTGAAACGATATCAAACATCTACTCCAAAACCGGGAGAGACCGGACAATAAACGTGTGGTACTATTCGCCGGTCACTTGTAAATCCCGGTCAAACTAGACCACGTGAGACCGGGAATTACCGATAGGAGTACATCCCTCTATAAATAGATTTTCGGAATATTTAGGTCATCTCATGTGAGGAAGCCATCCAGCTGGCTTACGGAAGGTCGGTGGTTCTACCCAGGTGCCCGCTCGTGCCTGAAATAATGCCCGGAGGGGCACCTTGGGTCTTCCTCCACCTATAAAGCTGGAAAAAAATCGACGAAAAATCTCGGCGGGACGCTCTAGGACGACCCGACTTGAGTGTACGGTCGCCCATATGGACTTTCCGGCGGCGACCTTAATAAACGCATCAATTAGGCCATCAACTACATGTAAAACAATAACATACCATAATAAACAACTACAAAATGATAAATAAAAATACTCCGAAGAGCGCGATTTTTTGACGGAAAAGGTTATATCATTTGAAAATGTTTGCATTGCGAAATTCTGCAGTTCGCTATTCATTGTACATATTGCGACATTTCATTTTTAATTAATAATCAAGCACCCTCATACCGATCGGAATGATCGGCTTTTATTATGACCGACTAAAAGGCTCGAGAAGTTGCTGTCGCCCTTTCACAAAATCTGATTTCATTCCATAAGGGCGCCGCGCTTCGGCGCGGACGCCAATTATTGTACCTTAGTTTGACAATACACATCATAATCTCTGCAGACCACAAAAAATCAATAATCACTATAATACTTACGAGTCAATTATGACACATGTTGTTAATCAAATTTAAGTTTTGTAAGATTCAAGATGGATATTCTAAGTCCCGTGCGACTGTCATCGGCAACGATGTTACATTTTTTTATGTCCAAATTAAAATATTTAATAAGGTTATTATTTTTATATATATTTCGGCTTACCGACCCGTCGACTCCTTATTTTGAGACAATGAAAAATCTGCAGAAATAAAATAAGCAATTAAAGAAATGCACTTACGAATTATATGTTAATCACATCTTTTATTGAAATTGATACGAAAATTATCCGACAAAATAACTTTCTCCCTAAGTATTAATCAAACATGTACATTTTTTTTAAAACATTTTTTTTCACATTTCTTTTTATACTTATGAACACTTAAAATGTGTGTAATTCATGTAAGTTTCGGCACTTCCTTTGAAGATTCGAATCAAACAGCCAGGGCTACATGATGGTAAACATCAAAGATTGGTAGATTCTTTTGAAAAGCCGGCTACACGTGTGTGAAAGGTCATCATGTGTAAATTGTATGCGTGTTATTGAACAATGGAAACATTATATTTAATTTTTACGGGTATTATTTTATTTTCACAAATGTGAGCGAATTTTATTGCGTATTATAGCGCTAATTGAGGAATTCAGACAATCGGCGGCGAATTTCGTTTTCATTTCATTTGAAATCGTAAGTACCACACGCACTAAATTTATTGATAACAGCTAGTCGTATATATATAGAAAAAAATAAAATCAATAACGGAAAATTTTTGATATGTATCATTCAATTAAAAAGGAAGAAAAACGAAATACTACACTTTGAAAAAAGTCGCGAAAAAATGGTTACATCATATCAGACATCTAAGAATATAACAACGATCCCAACATCCGGATGTATCCGGATGTTTGATTCGGATATCCGGATGGCCGTGTCGGCTCCAGATGACATCCCTATTAATAATAATTAGATAAACCGCAATTTAAAACTTACAGAAAAAAACAACAACACAGACAACAGTATATAAGGTATTAAAAATCACCATAACATCAGTTGAAAGACAGATTTGAATAGAACTGTTTCTTTAAATTAATATAATTAAGTTGGAAAAAGGAACGTTTCTTGAAATTATTTATCTTTTTATATATAAAACATGAATTCCTTAACATGTATTATACTTTTATTTGGATTATTCGCTGTTGGTATTGGACAATACATTGGTGGCACCCAACGACCGACTTTTCCGCTGAGGTGTTTAGCAGTGATGTGTGCTTCTCCCGAATTCTGCATGAACCCTGTGATGCTAGAAGGCGAATGCTGTCCTGTCTGCTCAGGTAACATTTTCACAATACAATTTTTTATCTTTACCTGTAGTCATGTTTAAAAGATGTCTGTTAACATAATGTTGTTCATTATCTTATTTAATACAGAGTACACTTTATACATGTATTGCAAAATATTCAACACGTTGTAATTAAACTTAATCGATATATCGTTTCAAGGAATCGCATGTCGATGACATACAATTAATTACCAGCAAATTACTAGTAAATAGTATTGGTGAGATATGACCACAAGTAGACATTGGATTCAATTTGATTTATGCAAGTTATACAAAAAAAAGAAGAGAGAAAAAATATTTATGCAATATGAAATGCAATACAGAGAAAGGACTGCTGTTTGAGAAATACCTATGTCTAAATATCTTAAACTATAATGTTGTAATAATTTTAAAAGAATCTCACATTAAGAAAAGAAATTGAATAATTTAAAGTAAAATTTATGTTTGTACATTGTGAGTTTATTGCATTTGTTATTAGAGTAAATTAAAAAATAATATACCATATTAATTTACGCATAATAATACGGAACATATTAACTATTAATTTTGAATACGTATTTATAGTGATTATATTAATTGTTTATTGTGAACTCACATCATTATCATGTTATTACCATATTTTCATGCTGTATCATATGTTTTGGCCTATTATTAATTGAGTTTAAACATCTGATTATCCGCTTTTGCATTTAATTAACAGCTATTGTCACCTTTTGAATTTAAGGTTTTCCATTTTCCATTGAAAACCATATTGCATGATATTATAAACAACATTAATGGTCATAGACAATACATTTGCATACTAATATGTATTAGTCATTGGTCATATATCAAATTTTATGGAATTTATCGGAAGCGAAACCGAAGGCGTAGCGAAGCAATAAGTTTTCTATAAAATTTGATACAGACCAATAACTTGCTTACAGTTTGTCACGTACGCCCTCTGAAGTCTTGTTAAGACTGCCCCTTTTATTTTGATTGACACCTCTAGCGCCCAAAAAGATGTCGACTGCCTGCCAATAAAAATGTCACGAGGCTTTTTTTTCTGCATGTACAGTTTAAGCAAGTCTAATTCAATGCAAAGAAGCACATTTTAATATATTGGCAGATAAAAGCAGCATTTTTGAGGTATACAAATGATATCACTGTGTAGCAACTTCTAACTATTGACACACATTTTTATGACGATGGGAACAAAGAAACATCGGACTAAAAAAAAACGAAAAAAATGGCACTGGGCCTATGCAAGGTATTTTTAAAAAAGCGTAAATTAGAATTTTCCATTTACCAAGTAATAGTGCAATCATTTCGAACAATAACATTTAATTTATGTAAAATGTGCAATGAAGACGTTTTGAATGGATTTTTTTATTTATGCGTACCGTAATAGATGTACTACTATCACATGTTAATTTTTTCAGGTTGATCTGAGAAGCCCCTGTAAAGAACTGACATAAAAATGTAACCACAGAATTATGTACCTGAGAACACTACAAGATATAATTATTTGGCGAAAATGGGTGGAAAATCGCAACATGCAACCCGATTGTTATTGAAATCGTACTCAATAAAAGACAATCGTAGTTCATTTTATTTGATATTTTTCTTTCAAAATAAAATATTTTTGTGTTTTCGTTGCTGAATTAGATGTAATAAATTTTCACAATTTTTCTCGTTTGTTCAACTGGATTTTCACAATATATAAATAATAAAACTTTCCGTCATAAGTTCCGTCAGATATTCTCAAAATGTTTTCCCTCTGTCTGTATTCTAGATCTATGGTATTTTGTACGAATAACATTTGACTTTGGTTAACAGAAGTCCTATTTTTTTTTTCATCGTCTCATCGTCAAACCGAGTCTGCAATTTCCATGTAATTTTGTTTTGATTAATACTTCGGAGGGATCATTTTGTTTACAGATTACAACAGGTGTCAAGTGCTTGTGGCAGCTGTAAAAAGTTGCCCCGTACTTCACTTCAGTGTTGTTATATTTTTCTGGTCCTTCGGGATCATTGATGCCAGCACTATTAAGTGTTGAAAATTGAGTACCGCTCAAGCCGGTGCTTGGGGCGTGAGAGATGTTGCACTTATTCATTATCCCTCATGTACAGACTCAATCATACCGAGTCTACAATGTTCATGTAATTTTGTTGTGATTAATGCTTCCGAGGGATCACTTTGTTTCCAGATTTTTTATACTTCACAACAGCAGGTGTCATGTGATGTGTTGCAGCTGTAAAAAGTTGCCCCGTTCTTCACTTCAGTGTTGTTATATTTTTATGCCCCCGAAGAGAGGCATATTAAAATCGCACCGTCTGTCTGTCCGTCCGTCTGTCCACTCTCACGGGACAGTAATAATGTGACTAGAGGGGCAAAAGATAACTGTTCTTTTTCTTTGATGTCATTCATTCCGTAATGCTTTTATGTGGCTATTTTGTGTGGCTATTTTGTGTGGCTAAAAAGAACAATAGACTAGCCACATTATTACTGTCCCGTTAGAAAATCCGTACCTCTGTCCGTCCGAGCGTCCCCACTTCATTTATGACCGGACTGTAACTTTGTCATACATGGGGGGATTTTGAAATAACTTGGCACATATGTCTACCACATCAAAACGATGTGTCGCGTCAAAGTACCACATCCCTACCTCAAAGGTCAAGGTCACACTATCGTTATGAAGTTTCACATTATCACAATAAGAGTAAAATGGTACACACACTCGTGTTCGGGCTGTAACTTTGTCATGCATCGATGTATTTTAGAATAACTTGACATAAATGTCTACCGCATAGAGAAAATGTGTCGCGTCCAATAATCACGTCCCTACCTTAAAGGTCAAGGTCACACTAACATTTTGAAGTTTCACTTGATCACAATAAGAGTTTATAGGTACACACATTTGTGTCCGGATTGTAACTTTGCATGCATGGAAGAAGTTTAGAATAACTTAGCTAAATGTCTACCACATCAAGATGATGTGTCGCATCTAATAATCACGCATCTACCTCAAAGGTCAAGGTCATACTGCCATTTTGAAGTTCACTTTATCACAATTGGAGTTTATAGGTACACACATTCGTGTCCGGACTGTAACTTTGTCATGTATCGAAGGATTTTAAAAAACTAGGCATAAATATCTACCACATCAAGACGACATGTCACGACTAAGACCCATGTGTCTACCTTCAGATTCAAGGTCACTTTTATAGTTTGAATGTACTCATTCTCTTGAGAAAAGTTTGAAATAGATAAATACAGAATCCCTAAAGAAAGCCCAACACGGCAAAATTGAAAATGTTGCAGGCTCGGTTTGATTTACGCTCCCTTCGCAGCTTACTGAATACACTCCCGTTACTTCAGACGTAAAGAAGTGAGCGATAGTGGAACATTCGACCGATGCGCAGGAGAGTAGGTTTGATTGAGCCTGTTCATGTACGGTACTGGAAAGTGCAAGTTACCGTCCACGCCCCCTAGCAACGGCTTAAGCAGAATTCAACATTTAAACATGAAATAGTAAAATTTTGAATTTAGAAACATCCGCAGATGTGTTCATACGGCGGTTATCATGGAACCTTCAATGTGACACTTCCGTGCCATTCCATGAAAAGCGGCGTATGGTCCCCAAGTAATAAAAAGCGTGTGCCCTAAACGAGAAAACAATGGGCGGAACTAAATAAAATGGAATTTTGAAAGGGGATCAGAGGTTATGAAGCCTGCGTATCACAGATAAGACGTCAAAAGACAAATTTAAAAAGCAGGCAACATATCCTAAGGGTGATTCAACATTATTCAAGTAGGAATATTGGAACCACCCAACTAGAAAATGCTTTAGAAAATGAAGATACACATTCATGTCCGGACTGTAATTTTGTCATCCATGGAAGGTTTTTAAAATAACTTGGCACAAATGTCTACCACATCAAGATAATGTGTCGCGGCTAAGGCTCATGCCCGTCTGTTCGTCCGTGTGCCCCCACTTACAAAACAATCATGTCCAGGCGGTAACTTTGTCATGCATTGAGGGATTTGAAATAACTTGGCACTAAAGTCTATCTCATAACAACATTGTGTTGCGTCCAGTTGCGTGCGTGCATTGAACGCCGCCTTTCCTTGTTGATCTTGTTTATCATATTTTCTTCAATGGTCAAGGTCACACTTATATTTTGAAGGTTCACGCTATCACAATTAGAGATTACAGGTACAATAATACAAAGAATAATATTAAGCAATTAGTTACTTTCGTTCTCTTTTCTTTTCATAATACCTGCATGCTTAAGAAACCTTTTCGGGGCATTCGTCACTTGGGTGACAGCTCTTGTTCTGGTCCTTCGGAATCATTGATTCCAGCACTATTAAGTGTTGAGAATTGAGTACCGCATAAGCCGGTTGTAGGGGGCGTGAGAGATGTTGAACAGTAATGGCAGTGTGTCCGTCGTTGTTAATTATGTCTTCAAAAAACAGATCCTGAGAAACGATTTGATATATTTTGACCAAACTTTACAGGAATGATCCTTAGATGTTCCTCTACAGAAATTATGGTTCTAGTCTGATGCATAAGTAGGACACAGGAGCCAGACATATAACTTAAATATCATGCCCCTTGGACCAAAAATGGTTCCGCCATAGGGATCATTTAAAATGTTTGTTTTTTAGGAAAAATACATTTAAGTCTTGTTTTATAAAACTACAATGCCTAGAGCTTAGAAATATGCTTGAAGCATTGTCAAGTGGATTTTTACCAAAGTTATACAATACATGTCAGTGGGGTCAAAACTGGCTGCACCCCGGGGATCACATATTTTATATAGACTTGTATACTAGTATTAGAATTAAGTTAAATGCATCTCCCAGAAACAACAATACCAAAAGCTTAGATATTTGGATCGTGGCCTTTTACTAAAGTTATTTAATATATAAATTATACCCCTGGGAATCAAAATTGGCCCCGCCAGTGGTGGATCGTTTAGTTTATATAGACTTGATTAGGAAAATACATTATAGTCTTCTTTTATGAAACTACAATGCCAAAAGCTACATCGCAAATAGATTAAATATTTGAAATGCATCATTGCCTGGTAGACCTCTACAAATGTTCCATTAATTATGCCCCTGAGGTTAGAAATGGCCGCGCCCTTGTAACGCTTATTTTACAATTATCGATGCAGTCTGGGGAAAAATGACAAACCCAATGTTACTGTTTTTTTACCTTTTCGATGTGAGTAATAAGCTGCTGGAATCAAAAGTGGCCAGACTTAGCAACCAGTATATAGCCAGACCAGCCTGCACATCCTAGCAGCCTGAACAGTCTATATGATATATGATCAAAAAGTTCTCGGCCCGATATACTTCTAGCCACTACACTGACATTTACAAACGATACATCGTACCGACCGATATCTTATTGAAGATTACTGACCGCGTTACACGCGGTTTTACACAGATTAAGTAACATAAAACACACTTTGATCAGTAGAGGGGTGTGTCATTTAGACCAAATGGAGAAAGTTGAAATCAGAGCCGTCATTAAGTACCTTTGTAAGAAAGGGATGTCCCCCAAGGAAATCCATGAAGACTTCATGGATACACTTGGGAAGGAGTCCCCTTCCTATAGCACTATGTAACTAGAAATGTGTCCATAGGACACGGGTGCCCCCGCATGTCACTTTTCTGTCAATCTTATGACTCTAGGTCAAATATTTTTTGGACTAAATGTGCAACAAATTGAAAATTAACAATCTTTTACTAAGTAAATGGCAAGAACTTTACAAATACTGAATAAATCCACAAGCAAACCCCAAGGTGCATAAGTACACATGCTGATCAACATTCTTGTAAACTTTCAGACATACAAGTCAAATACTTTTTGAGCTATGCACGAACAAGTTAAAAATTGCAAATTTAAACTACTGTAAGTCAAGGGCAATAACTCTAACAAAACTGAAAAAATCTACATGCAAAGTCCCAGGTGCATAGCTTCACAGTGATGTTGATAATTATTCATGTAATGGGCAATAACTCTACAAATACTGGATAAATCCACAAGCGAAATCCAAGGTGCACAACTACATATGCTGAGCAACGTTCCCGTAAGGTTTCATGACTCTATGTCTAATCCTTTTGAGTTACATGCAACAAAGTTGAAAATTGCAAACATTTTCCATGTCAAGGACAATAACTCTAAAAATACTAAATAAATCGAGACGAGAATACCCAGGTGCACAACTTCACATGCTGATTAACATTCCTGTAAGGTTTCAAGACTCTGTGTCAAATCCATTTTGAGTTACATGCGAAACAAGTTGAAAATTGCAAATTTTTACTAAGTCAAGGGCAATAACTCTAAAAATACTGAATAAATCCACATGAAAATACCCAGGTGCACAACTGCACATGCTGATCAACATTCCTATTAAGTTTCATGACTCTATGTCAAATATTTTTTGAGTTACGTGCGACACAAAAGAGAACGGACGGAAGGACGGACGGACGGATGGACGAACCGACTGACAAGGGTAAATGTCAATTTAAGAGGGGCAGGGAGAGCATTGAAGATGATGAGCGACCTGGGCGGCAAAAAGCGGCCACCAACGACGAAAACTGCCGAAGCTGTGCACGATTTGGTCATGTGCGACTGAAGACGAGACCTGCGAAGCATTGCTAGGGAAGTGGGTATAAGCTTTGGTTCAGTTCAGGCTATTCTGACTGATGTCTAAAGCATGTCAAAGGTTTCCGCTAAATGGGTCCCCAGACAGTTGACTGACGACCAGAAACGGACCCGGCTTGACATGGGTCCATCACTTCGATCCTGAATCCAAAAAACAGAGCATGCAGTTGAAGCAGCCTGGCACACCCCTCCGAAAAAATTCAAGAGGATGCCATCAGCAGGAAGATGATGGCTTCACTTTTTTGGGATAGTGAAGGGATAATCATGATTGACTATCCTGAGCAAGGTCGTACCATAAACGGTACGTACTATGCAGACGAATTGAGACGTCTGTGCCAAAATATCGCGCGTTAAAGGAGTGACAAACTGACTCAATGCGTTCTGCTCCTGTACGACAATGCACCAGCTCACACATCCCAAGTTGCGATGGCAGCTCCAACTGACTGCGGCTTTGAAATTCTTCCCCATCCCCAATATTCTCCGAACTTGGCCCCCTCTGACTTCTACCTGTTTCCAAAACTGAAAACCAAGCTTCGTGGTAGATGTTTTGGAAGCAATGAAGGTGTAATGGAGGCGGTCAATGAGTTCTTTGAGGAACAAAATAGAGAGTTCTTTTTTGGAGGGTTAAACAAGTTGTAGCACAGGTGGGCAAAGCGCATTGATGTAGATGGCAATTATATTGAAAAGTAAGACCATCACTTGGGTTAGTACATCGGGCCGATAACATTTTGATCAATTCTCGTATACGGTTGATAGCTAAGTTTATGTATTTTGTTATTGCAATCCATTTTACTTTGAATGGACCAGAATTCAAACCCCAGCAGGTCTAATACATAAATTCAACAAGTTAAGGGTTAATTACATGATTTTTCTATGATTATAAAATAGTAACCTTATTTTATGAGAGCAGCGAATACCTCGTGCTGGGCACAGCGGCGACACAATGCTCGAGTGACTGTTTAATATTCAAAAGTACCTTGTATAAGACCTTTTTCTTTTTAAAGAAAGCCATTCAGTATGTAATCAAAAACACATATTAATGTCAAACATAAATATCACAGGACGCTCATTAAATAATAATAAAATAATAATAAAGAACAAAATCTAAAAAATTACTTTTCAGACAATACCAAATTTATTTTTCTTTCCTATGACTAGATATCAGTTTACCAGTTAAAAATAATGTGACGACCTTAGTGGAAGCATGTATAAGGTTGTGTGTAATTATCTCGGATTGCCAATGAAAGCCCGAAGACTTATTTCCAATGGGGTCCTTGGATATATAGTACTAGATAGAATATACAATATAAAAACAAACAAAAAAACTTGAAAAAACTTTGACAACTGGAAGATGTCATATAAATAAAATATTAAACTTTAATATTTTCTTTTACTTTACTAACAGGAAAACAATAAAAATGAAGATTAATATCTAGTCATACAAGTGAATTTAATTATGATTTCCTAACTGTTCTAGTAAATGGGCCTTCACTGAGCTCTTGTAATCTCCTATGTTATTACTTTTAATGCATGTAGGCAAAGAATTCCATTCATTAATTGCTTTTTGAAAAAAGTTACATTATCTTTCCCATAACTTCTTGGGACCCTAAAATTGTACTGATTCGCCCGAGTTGAATAAGAATGAATGTCTCTAACAGGTACAAAATTGTCTTTCATATATGATGGGCCCTGGTTATTAACAATTTTAAAAACATGATAAAGACGTCATTGCTTATTTCTGTTTTCTACATTTAATAAAGACATATTAGCAAGAATAACATTATTGACACTATCTCTAGGTCCCATACAGTGTATAAATCTAACAATTTTATTTTGACAAATTTGAAGCTTACTTTTAAAACACTTGTTCAGACTCGGGTACCAAGAAGAACATGCATAATCGAGGTGACACTGTATTAATGCTGAGCATAAATATTTTCTTATCCTTAAATCTAAAACATTTGCTTGCCTATACAAAAACTAAAACTTTGTAAGAATACTATTAACAATAGATTCATCTGACAAGGAATCATCAATGTTTCAACCTTGATATTTGACAGATTTTGTTGATTCAATAGTATGTCCATTACAAACAATTCTAAACTCTTTAACTTGTTTCAGTTTACGCTTGGAACAAAAAATAAGGCATTCAGTCTTTCCTAAATGAAGTAGATTCTATTAAATTGTAATAATGTATCATTTGATGATGTTACGCTATATAATTGTGTATATCAAGGCAAGCTAGAAAACCACTATAAGTAAAGTACGTAAACTATTTTTTTTATATTATCATATATTCACAATTCAATTAGCAACAATAACAACCAAAGGAACACACAGGTATTACAAAACAACGAAACAATGAAATGACATCCGTAATACACTTAATTAATTAATGTTGCAAAATCCCGACCAGGATATAAGATATGTGTCTATCAAAATACTTATTTGTTCAGCGTCGACTGACGTAGTTTATAATGCACGTACTTTTCATGTTAATTTGTATTCGAAAGGACGTTGTCCTTAAATGTATTACCGTAAACATTATACATGTAACATAATAGGCAATTTAACGCTCCAGTAAAACTTATAACAGCTACTGCACAGTATAGAGATATGTAACACATATATTTATATTGCATGCTATATAAAACGAAGTTGATGAACCTGGTTTACGTTTTTCGAATATTGCTGATATAAAGTTGCAAGTGAACCAAAAAATTGTTTTTTTTTTCGAGATAATTTCGCCTGTGAATACACAAAAAAACACTGTACGAGTATTTTTAATAATGGTAAACAAAACACTGGGCGCAAAAGACAGCAACCACTCCCAAAGAGACGTACAAAAAATGTGTCCGCGGACAGATCATACGAAAACGACAGCATTGATTGATAATTTCAAAAACCTTATTTTAGCTGTTGTACCTTGGAACCGTATTTGGAAGGCGATTGTTGCCCTGTGTGCACATCGACGCCAAAACGACACTTCTTGTTAACTTCATCCATAAATATGACCAGGAATCTGTTTAGGTCCACAATCGTACATAAACAATTTGAATAGAATTTATACCAAACATAGAAAGAGGGTTGGGTACATGCAGATTAAGGGTCCACTGGCATATATAAGGAATTACCAGTTGTAGTTTCCTATTGAAATGAAAACGTCGAAAACAATATTTTTTGATTAGAAGAAAATAAAGTCGTTATCTTTTTATTATATTTACTCATCTGAAGATCCTCGATATACAAAACTATCATCGCCTACACTGAAACAAATTGGAATGTGTGCTGATGCGATATGAAATTATAGCACATGTAAGCAGAACTCCTTATGAATTGTTTTATTTAATTGCTGCTTATGCGGTTTTCATACAATCAAAGGATAAACCTTTAACATATGAGTTATCTGAATAATTTATTATACGAACTGTGTACGCATTGGCATACTGCCCGAATGTATTTTATAATTATCTCTTGTAAACATAGCGTCTTGCGGTTACGTTATTTTCTTGATACCAGGATATGTTTTTATTTCTAAATCCTATTTGTTCAACGTTTATCGACGTTTGTTCAACGTATATCATGTTTAATAGGTTGATTTATGTCAGAAATGACGTTGTAATTAAACAAATTACCATAAGCTCGTTCATTTCAACTTAATTAGATAAAACCGCAATTTGAAATTTAATGCAAAAAATGAAACAGACAACAATATATAAGGTATCAAAAGTTTTCTAATAATCACCATATCATCAGTTGAAAGACAGATTTGAATAGAACTGTTTCTTTAATATACTTAAATTGAAACAAGAACGTTTCTTAAAATTTTTCATTAAGTTATAAATAAAACATGTATTCATTAACATGTATTATACTTTTATTTGGATTCATCGCGGTTGGTAATGGACAATACGTTGGTCGCACCAGACGCCCGCCTCTTCCGGAAATATGTTCAAGAATTTTCTGTCCAATGGCGGACTGTATAAACCCAGTTAGACCAGAAGGCGAATGCTGTCCTGTCTGCCGAGGTAACATTTTCACAATTAACTTTTTTTATCTTTGAATTTTACTGTAGTCATGTTTAAGAGTTGTCTCTTAACATACTATATCTATAACTTTCCCATTTAATACAGAGTACATTTTATATTGTCAAAACGTTCCTTTTATATTCCACACGTTCTCATTTAACTTATAAGATAGATTATTATGGAATAACATGTCCAAGACACAAAGTTTCACATCAACAAATTACTAGTAAATGTATAGAAATATAACCATACATATTTTATCCTCGCTTAAAATCATAAGAATAAAATTGTTAAATATAACACCATGGCCGACCATGTCAAAATTTGTTCATAATGTAAACTAAGATAGTAAAAGAAAGCAATATAATGTTGCTAATTTTTTTGAAAGAATCGTTAAAATAATAAAAATTGAATAATTTAAAATCCATGCTCGTACATTTTGATGTCAGTGCATTTGTTGTTAGAGTAAAATATAAAATAATTTACCGTATCAATTAATAATATGTAACATTTTGTGCATTTCAACTTAAGTACATTAAGAACTATTTAAAATGAATACGTATTTATATGTAAATTAGGGCATTTTTATGGTCAACTCACACGATGCTCATATGTCTTGGCTTAATAAAATGTCTAATAAAGTTAAGTTAAGTTTAAACTGCTGATTGTCCACCTTTGCAAACGTAATTAACTTCATTGTGTTATTAAAGGCCCAAAACCTGGCAGGTGTCCACGCAGAAGAAATGAGGCTGGAATATGTGCATTTTTATGTACAGATGACTCAAACTGTCCAGGCAACCAGAAGTGTTGTAGTGTCGGATGTGGAAGCTCATGTATGCGACCCAGAGGTTAGTGATTTCAATTTTCTATTGAAAACCATGTTGATATTGTGAACAGCATTAATGGTCAAAGAAGATACATTTGTATTCTAATATATGTAAAATATCGTTTCCGGAGATAGTATGGATATGTTCTTACATACATCATTCATCAATGCTTTATTCTAATTTGCAAATGGATGATGATGAATATGATAATTAAAATACCACGCAAGAAAAAAGTATCGATAATTGCACTTACAACTTTGATCTTCTAAATGTTTTACCTTTGACGTTTTCTTTTGCTTAAAAATAGGAAGATGTAGTCGTGGTGTCATATGTCCTCAATTACGATGTGCTAATCAGTATACACCACCCGGAGAATGTTGTCCCGTTTGTAGACCAGTAGGACCAATAAGTAAGTCTCTATTTTTCAACAAGGTATTGACTATATGTCTGTAAAACATACATGCTATTGTTTAGAGGTAACTTGATATAAAAGCTTCATATTCCGCCGGAACATTTCTATAAGAATAAGTTTATACCTATCACTAAAGTTCTCTAACAAACAAGTTCTGCATATATATGGTCATTTTTCTAATACTGATCATCTTATAATGAAACATGAAGTTTTTCGTTAAAAAAGATCATATCATCAATCACTTATGATGAGCAAATGCAACTTTGCACACTACTAGATTTTTTACATTTTCATTTCTTAATCAACATCATGTATGATTTTGACAAGTCTATAGAAAATAGTTATGATTGTAAAACATCCATTAAAACTTTATTTAAATATGTAACAAATGCGTTAATTGAAACTATCTTGTGGTATAGTTGTCACATGTTTGTTCTAAAGATGCCCCTTTTACACGTAAGAACAGGCAACAACGGAAGCTGAGTTGGTATCAATGTAAACATGAACGAAAGGATAGACTTCAACAACATTTGAATCAATGTTAATTCTACCGACTCTGGGTACCATTGTATCATATTTTCAGAACTTAAACAGAGAAAAAGATGTATTAGAACTACAGGTTTATTCAAACGTTAAATATTAATATGAACACATATTTAGATGCTTGTTTATGTAATTTCAGAACCTGACTGCAGTACAACTCCATGTACGATGCAATTCTGTGAAGGCCAGTACATTCCTGATGGACAATGCTGCCCAGTATGTCCAAACACCGCATACTAACAAACGAATGTTCGAACTGTGTCACAATTGACTCACGTCATATCTTAATTTTGCTAGAAGCATATTCATAATCAGAATTAAAGACGTTCATAAAAAATTTGTATCTTTTGAGCTGAATTGACTTAATATTTCAAAACATTAACTGTCAAACTGGTTTTTGACCAACAGTTGATATTGGAAAATGTTTAGGATAAAATTATAATTCTGTCTAAAATTTAAAAAGACTGTCCCACTCTTTTTATAAACTAAGCGTTATACGTAAATTTTAACGGGTATTTACAGAAATTTCATTTGTATCTGTGAGTTATTTATTGTAAATGTGAACTTAATTATAACATTAAAAGGAATTATGACAGAATAAAAATTTATTTTGATCTTCATCCGTTCACTCACTACCCTTGGATAGGCATAATGTCACTTTAACAGTGATTATTATTCCTGTAAAGTTGGGTGAGTCTAACTCAAGCACTCAAGGAACAAATAACACAACATAATGGAACGGTTATTTGCTAAATCAAACTGTTTCCTTTGACACTCGGCTGCTGTTTATGCCTTTATTTTAAAAGACAGAACATAAAATAACGATCTTGTGCTATTGGTTGCCACTCTTTCATTTGCTTTGAGACTTGCTTTGCCTGTAATCAGCGAGTTTCGCACTGATTTCTTCAAAACATACATTGTTTGGGAAAACTAGAAAAATAAAACATCTTTTAGAATTACTATTATTTCAAATTGGTAGAAATAATTCAATATTATTTTGAGTAGAAGAAAATTAAACCTCTGCTAGCGACATAATATTCTTCCTTGCATTTATCCAACCGATATATTCCACTCTCTGTAATAATACTTTCGAGCGATATAGCGGTTTATATGTGGTCATTAATATATGCTCAAATAATATCTAAAATGAGCATAATGCTCAAAAGTTCGAAAGCACGAGATACTGATTGTTCAATATATTTTGTTCACATTTTCTATAACATTTGTTTTTTCTTAAAAAATAATTATTCCTTCTGAATAAAGTAAGATAATAAGTAGTCATATTTCTAAATCAAACATTCTGATCCTAAAGACCCATTATTGTGTGTTCATTTTACAATTCTAAATGGCCTTTTATTAAATTTGGTGGATTATAACGATATTTTCTGTAATAAGCAAAACAATTAAAGGAGATGTCGCATTATCATTTGATTATGTATAATCTTTAACTAATATTGTAGAAACTAGAAGGGAACAAAACCTTACAATGTTTTGTGCGTTCATTAACTTTATTGAAAGAGAAATCTTTCGAAATAAATTTAATAGTGTTAAATTGTTATTGGCTATAAAGTCAGTGTCTAATTTGGTCTAATCATGTATAAGAATAAATAGAGAGTTTTATTTTATGCTTTTCAGTGGATTACTGATTTATCCGTGAAAATTATATTTGATAATTTCACAGTGAAAATTATCAAAATATAATTTCACTTTTTTCAATGACAAAACTACTTTTTAAGATTTTCCCCATGTGGTACCTCAATTTTATTTTTACTGACAATTCTGACAATATCAGGCTGTTAAAAAAAAATAGCAAAGCTGAAATAGATAAATAACTTAAATGTCAAAAGAATAAAGAGAGAAAACTTACTTCTATTCCTTCAAATTCCAATCACAAAATTTCGTCTCTAAATTTTTTTGTTTCGTTTTTGCAGTCTGAAAAATACATTCCTTCCCCATGCTAAACTGCTCTTGATGACATTTGGGCATATTAAAGTATCCTACGAGCAATAACTGCCGTATGCTTTATGAAAAATTGAAAAGCATTGACAGCCATCACTCGTAAAATAAGTAAAACAACCCACCGTTCCTTACAATGCCTTAGCAAGCTTCCAAGTTTTCCATTTTCCTAGCTCCTTTTCTGAATGTTTTCACTTCTGTCAACACTTATTTTTTGTCTGTTACAATCCTCAAATAAGTTTTCTTTCTTTTAAAAAGGTGTATGACTAACAAATCCAAATTATATCCTTCTGAATCTTACACAATTATTTTCCTCCCATGAAATACACAACTTTAAAAAATGGCTGCAGCTTGCATTTTACAAAGCCAGGTCTAATATAAATTCGCAGTAAGTAGCAGAAATATGGATGGATGGTTGGACTTTTTCTCCTACAAGAATTGTTTGTTTTTATTATTAAAACAAGCGATCATTCATATTTTTTTAATAAAATGAATAAATATCACCGTCATTTAACCTTGATTGGCGGACTTATTTCTCAGCTCAAGACTTCTTGTTTTTAATGAGAAATTCCCTCTGAATGGGGCTCTCAATGGGGGAAACAGATTTTAATATTAACGTTAAAATTATGGAAATTTCGTTTTAACTTGTTTTAAAGCATAAAATAAAAAGAAAATTTGTCTGTTTGTTTTGTAAGATGTAATTTTATTTCATCTCGTGAACTTTAAAAACAGTATTCTCACTCGTGGCTACGCCACTCGTGAGAATACTGTTTTTAAAGCCCACTCGATGAAATAAAATTTCATATTACACACAAACAAACAAATATCCTCTATATAGTGCAGGGAAAGAGAGGATAGAGAGGGGGGAGACTTAGGGTGCAAAATAAAAAAAAATGAATAAAAATAGGAAAACATGATGATACTGACTGTAGACTACAAGAACAAGAATGGTCACAAACAGTGTCACCACAATTAACATGTGGCAATAAGAGGGGAACATAGAGGGGCGCCGTCTGGGAACCTTTCAGCAACATAAGCACTACTGGAATGTTTAATCTGGTTAATGGTGCACGAAACCCTACTCACAGTATCACCCAAAACGCTCAGCTTTAACAGCTCGTCCTTCTCTTATTTGCAAATTTGAAGAAAGAAATAAGTTCTTAGTTTCTTAAAAAGCAGTGAAAAAGTATTACCTAAGAAAAGTTAAAACCTTAAACATTTCGGGGAGTGTAATGTCTTCTTCTTTTTTAAATGTATCATAAACCTACTGTTCTGTGAGTTTGGCATACATTACTAATTATGCAATTGTTTCAAACAAATGTCATAAGCACAAAATGTGGCAACTATCATAACTGCATTGTATTAACAACAATTACTTTGCAAGTGTGCGACTTGAAACCCAACCGAAAAAATAACATCATTAATTATTTATGCACTATCGAGTGATTTATAAGCATTACTGAGGCCTAGGGATAATCACCGCAACATTTTTATTTGACAATATTTAATGATTTAATGGATGTACATTTTTCCTGTATAATTGTGTCAGTGTGTATATAAATAACTTCAACTCTGAGAGTGCCACAATTTATTTGCAGGTTTGACATGTAGAGCTATTCAATATTTTCCTACAAATACACAAAAGCAAAAGTAAACAAAATAAATGAAAGCAAAATCTATAAGCAAAGGAAAATTAATTGCAAAGCTTCATTTTTAATGATTTTTTAAATATAGTTTACTTATTCAACATGTTATAAAATGAACAAATGTAAAATTAAAGTCAGCTGAAGAACAGGCAATAACAATTATTACAAAGAATCATTTTGTATAGAATTAATTTAACCAAATAATTACATAACAAACACAATAGTGACATGACAAGGACATCCCCAGGATGTTCCTGACGTTTAATATGTAGAACTTATTTAATGATGTGAAATCGTTCTATTCGCATAAAATTCTCTGACCGAAGTGAAATTTATTTTCAATTCCGCCTAACGTGAAAAAAAAGAAAGAAAAAGAAACGACATGTTAGTTACATATTAGCCAATAAGAACTTCTTATTTTGACCTTACACACAAATGTTAGTGCTCATTAATATTATCTATCAGTTAAAGGTTTGATAATACTAAATAAATTGATGCTGATTGATAGGCTTGGCGGTATTAAATTTCACACTAAACAATTAATTTTGTATTCTCATTCGTTCTTATTATTTCAAATAGATTTATTTGTAAGATATAACATTTAAGGTACAAACACATGATCTTTAAATATCGTGCATTAGTTCCGCACGAGAGGGATGATTTATTTACCAAAACGTGGTTGTCATAGAAGATTTTTTTTTATTTCTTTAAGGCAACACAAAACAAAACATGCCTTTAATAATTCGGCTTCCTTATAAGTTTTGTAGGGTTATGTTATAACAAACAAACACAAACAAATCTAAAATAACAGTGGGTACAAAAATTTGATTAAATTTCCTGTAACCATGGCAACATCTCAAAAATGATTGGTAAATATAAATACTTAGTGCATTGTCCTACGTTTTATGGTTTTTGAAAGGATTGTTTGTCAATTGCAAATTTAGATTTGGTTATTCACACGAGACGGTAGAGATAGTTTTGTACCAAAATTAATAAAATAAGCTTTCTTCCTTCACTAAAACACAAAAACCAAGCATAATATTGGCATCTTTTATTGTAGAAGTAAGTCTTACGAAAAAAAAATCAAGTTTCACGCATGGTTTCCAATATTTACAAATACATTGAAAGAAAATAAATTCGTATTTGTAAGAGTAAAAAAAAACATTTAATTCATTATCAAATATTTAGATAACAAATGCTTAATCAATTGTTTTTATTACAGATAAAATTATCGGTACATTTCTGAACGTCATTGTCGCAAATTATGCGATACATTCCTTATTTCATCTCATTCGTTTCTCATTAAGTGTATGCTATAAGCAATTTATCTTAGTTCTTTACAAAAAGATTTTGTTGTCAAATTTATAAAAGTAAAGACAATTTAACAGAAAGGTGTGAAGTTAAAATTCAAAAATGACTTGGAAAGTTGGATGTATTTATTATTGTTTTCTCGACGAATAACAATTACAACATGTTGTTCTTTATTTCTTTGTCATTGAAGGAACGAGGAATTAAAGATCAAATAATTTTCTCGAAAACCATAAAACGTAGGACAATGCACTTGGTATTCATATTTAAAAATATAAAGTGCATATGATAGGCAATGTCTAGTTTTGGATTTAGGAAATGTTTCTAATCTAAATTTATAAGCATTATGAACTTACCGAGGTTCAGATGTCGCCATTACTCGTTTACATTAATGTACAAAGTCATGTGACCCCATCCAACCAATAATCTATAATTACCCTACTTATCACCTCATAGATATTTTTGCAAATGCTAAAGTACATAGAACAAAGGCGTCTATATATGCCATTTAATAAATAGTTATAAGTTCAGTTGCAATGTCTTTAATACACTTAATAAAAACAAAAGATACCCCCCCCAAAAAAAAACAAAACAAAAAAAACAACAACAACAAAAAAAACAACAA